AAGCTTTCAGCTATTTACCAAACACTTATTTAAAAACCGCTAATGTAATCCGCTAGTCAAATCAGCTAATATAATCCGCTATCCGCTATCCGCTAATACAATCCGCTATCCACTATTCGCTATCCACTGATCGCCAAACAAGACCAATATGTTACCTCGACTCTGTCAATATAACACAAATGAGATTTTGACGAGTATATCTGATGTATTTGGGAACGAAGATGAAATATTCTCTCGCATTGGAGTAGCCAGAAAATTTTTAAATTTAGAGCGACATATTATTGTAGCTATTATTGGAACATTCTAGACATGGTCATGGGCTGACCCAGCCTGTCGGTTCGGCCCAAACCAACACAAACTGGCCCGTTGATCATGGGTCTTGAACCGGCTCGTGGTTTTGACCAGTTCGGTTCATTTACAACCTTGTAGTTTATACATTTTGAACATGCAGTCTCGGTTCCGAATTGGAACCGGAATCCGAGGTTCTGCCTTTTTTAAATAAAATATTATTTTAATTATTTTTTATTTTTTTAATGAACTAACCGACCTATAACTGACAATTCAATGAACCGGCCCATACATATGTTCGCGCCAGTTCATAGTCCTCCAACTCTCGGCCCGGTATTGACGGTATCAACCTGTAACCAGTTTTGGTTAGACTAGGAACAAAATATCATTTAACATATGTCTGTTTGAATTAGGAAAACTCAATCTCGAATCGCTTTTATATATAAATAAGTCAAACTCAAATAGCTAACGAACTTGTCGATCAAACAATTGGAGTCAAACATGTTTGCAATCAACTCTGTACGAGGTTTCTCTTTGTCTAGTAAATGATGCCGAGTTAATTATTGGAGGCGAAATAAAAAAAAATAAATAAATGAAAATGGATAACAGATTGTGGACTGAGACGAACCCAATTAAATAGTCCGTTGGAGAAGTCTGTGTCAAGTTTAATTATCCAACTCATTTGATATTTATTAAGTGAACCGATTAAAAATTTAAAAGGCAAGAATGTGTTGGATCACATTATAAACTTAATTGATAAAATCTAATAAGGTCATAATTGTCATTTGACAATAAAGGATTGCATTTTTTCTTCACTACAATCATCATTTTTTCACCATTGTTGTCAGATAAAAAATTTTAACCTGAAGATATTCTTGAGACATTCAGCCAAAATTACATGGGGCTAATGGGTCTATGTATAATTTTCTAAAAAATAATAAGATTAGCAAAAATAAGATTTGTAAAAAATTACATGAGGATGGAGCCCACCCTAGCCTTAGGGTGGCTCCGCCCCTGCTCTCTCGTCAAAAACTACTTCCCTAATCGTACTAATGACATATAAATGAAAAGGAAAAATAAATAATCCTAATCTTGCCCCACAACTGCAAGATAATTATTTTTCTACCCCAAAATAATAATCAACTTAAGGAAATAACATAAAAGAGTACGAATAATAACGAGACAATAAAACCGACTAAACCCAGAGGCGGTCATATTTGTTCAAATATGCAATAGCGGTCTCGTCTTCATCAATATCTATTGTTGGATTGATAGATTTAAAATCGTTCAAATGGTAATATAGATGTGATAATTTTAAATTCATACGAAATGAATTTTAGTCATTGTTTAAAATGATTTCAAATAGCTATTCAAATCTATCAATTTGAATTTAATTCACTTTTTTTTTTCATTCAGTTGCTCGTTCTACTTCTGAGTTTGCTCATTTATTTAGATTAATTAATTACCATAGAGGGTCTAACACTGTTATCACATGCAAGAAAGTTGATTTATAATATATTTCATATGATATTTGATAACATAAAATTTATAATTTTAAATTCACACTGAAATAGATTTCTCATCACGAGGTATAACATGGATTTGCTATGAAGCCTACAAATTTATGAAAAAAAAAAAA